GGGTTCATAAAAGTCACGTAGTTTGAGAATACCAAATACTTTTAAGTATAAAAACTTACAAAATATAGACACTCTAATTTACTTGTTCAACTCTAACTCTAAAAGAGAAGCAAATAACAGTATCAGACAATATAAAAGCCACTGATTATCAATTCAAAATGGAATCCCTTCATTTTAAGAATTTATATTGTTACTTTTTAAATCAAATAAAAATTTGTCTTTTCTATTTCTAAAATCAAATAAATTAGAGCAACTAAGAATACACAGTACTTATGTTAGCATCTCTTACAAACCAAAAATCATGTTCATTAATATAAATGTTAATTCAACATATTTAAGAACCTTCATCAAAGGCAATAATATTGGGGTTATGGAGGCTAAAAACTGAAAAACGAAAACCACCCAAAGGAGCCCACTCTCTACTACATAATCAACATATAACCCCCCAATCCACAGTACACTATGAAGTGATAATTAGTTCCCTGAAAGATGTCTAATACAGTTCATTGATAAAAAGGTAATAATTTTTAACAAATGATTACAAATACAAGGAAAATCTAAACTTCAATCTAACATTTAATTGTTGCTAGTTTCAGGAAAACAGTAACAAGCATTCAAGGGCTGAACATTCCCAGGTTTGGCTCTTTGCATCCCAAGCTTTTTCACCTCAGCATCTTTAGATATTCCCAGTAGCTGAAATAGCTGGTTCAAAGAGGTATTTTATTAAAAGTCACCCTACAGAGATGATTTCCCTTACCATCTTAACTACTTAAGGTTTTCCTTCTATAATAGACTTAACGCAAAATTACTTGTTTATATTTTGCCCTCCCTATGAAAGTATAAATTCTATGAAGGCAGGGAGAAACTTGCTTTTCATTTTTTATTGAAATATATGCAACATATAATAAAAACTTTGTTTTTTTTAATCATTGCAAAATCCAATGCTTGACACATAAAGAGAGTGAATTAATATACTCCAAAGAGTTGAGGCAATTATGATTTTGTTAAGACTCAAATATGAGTAACATACAAGAGGGTGGTGTAAAGGATTCATTTGACTAGACTAGTGAAAGCAGCATTAATCAACTGCAAAAAAATTTCCTCCTATTTTCTTCAATTCTTGCAGAGATTCTAGTTATTGTTTCTGTGTTTGTATGTATATAAAAGAGTACAAATATCACCACTATTCTATACATTCTGTTATGTTCATGGTCATTATTTCTATAGCAATAAAAGTTACATAACTTAATGATGTATATTAACAGTTTTATAATTTAGACTAGTAGCGAGTCATTTAGAGATTAAAACAATTACCTGCAGAACATATTACTAAGAAAGCAAAAAGACAATGCATTGAGTGGGAGAAAATATTTGCAAGTCATGAATTTGATAAGGGACTTGAATCTAGAATACATAAAGAACACTTATAACTCAATAATAAAAAGACAAGTAACCCAAATTAAAAATAGGCAAGGATCTGAATAGACATTTCTCCAAAGATGGCATACAAATGGCCAATAAGCATATGAAAATATGCTCAACATCTCTGGCCATCAGAGAAATGCAACTCAAAACCCTAATGAGATACCACTTTACACTCAATAGGGTGGCTATTAAAAAAAAAAAAGATAATAACAAGTGTTGGTGGAGATGTGGAGAAACTGGATCCTCATGCACTGCTATTAGCAATGTATAATGATGCAGTCACTGTTGAAAATAGCTGGCAGTTCCTCAAAAGGTTATACAGAGTTCCTACATGACCTAGCAATTCTACTCATAGGTATCTATCCAAGAAAAATGAAAACATGTTCACATAAAAACTTGCAGCAGTATTATTCATAGTAGCTAAAAGTAGAAACAACCCAATGCCTACCAATTGATGAAAGAAAAAATTCATACAATGATTATTTGGCCGTCAAAAGGAATAAAGTATTGATAGATGCTACAACAAGAATAAGCCTGGAAAACATGCCAACCAAAGGAAGCCAGTCACAAAAGACCACATATTGTATGATTCCATTTAATGAAATGCTAAGCATAGGCAAATCTATAGAAACGAAGCAAATGTGTGGTGGGCTGGGGAAGGTAGGAGGGTTTGGGGGGCGGGGGCGGGATGATGGCTTAAAAGGCATGGAGATTCTTTTTGGGTGATGAAAGTGTTCTAAAATTGTGGTGATGGTTTTACAACTATAGGAAATTATAGCTACTGAGTCTTCCTAAAAGCCTTGAGGTATATCCCTTCAAACAGAAACTCTTTCTTTAAGGGAGACAAAGATAAAGCAGATAGAAAAAGAGGGGAAATCTTCATAACTGAATGATTACCATGTCTGACATATTTTACCTACTCAGTCTTATATTTTAAACAGTACTTTTTCCTACCAAAAGCACATTTTTGTCTATCTTAGTACAAAATGTTCAACCAATTATCCTTAGTTTATGTCTCGAGTTCTTTATTTCAAATTTGATCAATTCCTTTCATAAATATTTATTTTGCAGAGATAATGTGAAGATTCAAGATATTATAGTAAGATGGCTGGTAGTCAATAAATTATTGTCATTATCACTATGCTATAGGAGATGGAGGATCCTAAAATGATGAGCCAAAGTGCAGAGTGGGGAGAATACAAAGACTATATCCTACAGAGGCACAAGTCATGTGTCAAGAAAAGGAAACCCCTGGCTGATAATCACAGACCAAAAGTGAGAGAACTGCCAGTAGCATCAGTATCACCATGATCATCATCACCACTATTACTACTCTTACTATCATCACCATCTACACCCAACACTCTCTACCCAAAACATCTATTTTATGCCTTTTTTGTTTTCCTAATTATGAAGCATTTACACATATGGAAACATGACCCAAATCAAGTAATAACACATCATTTCCCCCAGTGCTATCAAGCTTTTTTTAAAAATGTGAAATATAAGATAATACCAATCCATTTTTATTTCCTCTCTCCCTTACAGTAAGCACTATCTTAGAATATGGTGTTAATCATTATATGCATGTTTTAACTGCAACTATAGGTATCTGTAAAAAACACAGAGTAATGTTTTCCATGTTTTCAAACTTTACTAAGTGACATACTGGTGTGCACCTTGCTTTGTTAGTGCAACAGTTTGCTTATTTGTTTTTTAATTCAAGCATGTTTCATGTAGCTCTGGTTCATTCATGAAAACTGCTGGATAGCAGTATATTGTATGAATATCACAATATACTTGTCCATACTCTTAACTAATGAGATGTTTAAACTGTTTCTAATTTTATTATTAACGAGCAGCAATAAACACAATTCCTTGAGCACAGGTATTAGTTTCTACGATATATTTCTAGAAAGAGAACTACTAGGTCAAAGAATACATACTTTCAACTTCATTAGAGGTTCCTAAGTTGATCTTTTCACACTCCAAACAGCAGTGTGAGAAAGTTCCCGTTTTTCCTCATCCTCAATAATTCTTGGTATCGTCATAGTTTTTTAATTTTGCAAACTAAAAAATATAGAGTGGTATCCTACTGGTCTATTTTTTCTTGATTAATAAGATTAAGTATCATTTATTGGCCTTTCAGGTAGTCTCTTGCATGAAATGCCTTTAACAGTGTTGCCATTTTTCTATTGACACCATTTTTCTGATTTGTAGTAGTTCTTAAAATAGTCTGGTATCAGTCCTTTATCGATTATATGCATTTTTAAATGCTCTTTCCAAAGGGAAAAAATAAAGAAATAAAAGAACAAACCTGTTGCTGATATTGAAATCTTGAAATCTAGGAAGCGAAGACAATTCCTGCCTTCTCAAAGTTCTCAGCTATTTCCCACATCTTTATATCTAGGTTTCTCAAACTTTTCTGGCCACTCTCAGAAGATAAATTCCTCCATGAGAGCCAATACACACACACACAAAGCTCTATATCAATTTCTTCTACCGAATTAACCACAAGCAAACACAAAAGGGAAATTTCTCTACATTCTATATAGGCAATGCCACATCTGCCTCTCATATTAATACATCATATAGCTTTCATATGGGTCAGTATACGAAGGCATCTATTTTGATTAATAACGCTTTGTTTAAACTGTTAATTAATAACCATCATATCGCTACATCAGAATGTTTGAAACAATGAAGAGTGCCCGCTCTCTACTCAATGAATTAAGAATTAAGATATAAACTCGCACTAAACAAATGAATTTTTTTTAGTGGTACTAACGCACAATCAGTTCTTACAGAAAAAGATGCTCTGCAGAAGTGACTTGATTCTGGATATTTTAGTGACAGCACACCCATGTTCAAAAAAGTTAAGTTCATTTACAGAAGCATTAGGTCTTGCAAAATACAGACGCTGCCCTAGACGCACGAAAAGACCTTCGATTACTTAATTCAACTCCTTCATATTCAGGTGAGGTAACTACAATCCCAAAATCAAGAAATCTGCTCAATGCAGGTCCTCTAAAATTTATAAATTCAGGGGTCTTTCCACTGAATCACACATCTTCTTTTAGACTCCCCAGTTCTAAAACTCTGATTCCCCTATTAATTTTACAAGATTAAGCTGATGCGTTATAGAAATGACGGCAGTAATTCCCGAACCCACACCAATCTTTTCCTTTCCATTTCCCTACCTATCATCTACCTCCCCAGTCTCCATTACTGCTGTGCAGAAAGAAAAAAAAAAATAGACTGCCTGAATTTCTGGCCCTAATTAGGTGCGGAATCCTGAGCCCCTGGTTACTGTTTTTGTGTTAAAATAGAAGTTCTTTTTTAATCCTTCGTTCCTTTATTCAGCAATACCTCTCAAGCGCCGACGGTGCGGAAGCGCAGCGCACACTGCTCCCGCAAGCCGCCGGACCGCCGAAACCTGGGAGCCGGGAGCGCGGGGCAGGGGGCGTCAGGCAGCGGGGAGCTGGGGTCGCTGCGAGACTGTTTCCCGTGGAGCGGGGCAGGGGGTCCCGGTAGCGCCAGGGAACAGGCCGGGTGGCGGGGCGCGGGCGACTCACCTTTACGCAGTTCCCGCTCCCACACGGTGACGATGGGCCGCGAGTGCTTGCGGTGGTGGATGAGCCACAGGGACAAGGTCTGCACACTCTGCTGCGAGTTGCTCAACTCCGACAGCTTCTTCTCCAGCGCCGCCTCTGAGAAGGCGGACATCCCTCCAGCACCGCGTTCACGCCGTCCCACGCGGTGGGGCTGAGGGGAGGAGAGTTTCGCCGCACTCGCCGCGGCCTCGCCCACTCACCCCACCCTCCCCCACGCCCTCACCACCGCGCCACTACATCCAAGACCGGCCGCAATCCAGCAAGATGGCGTCCGGCCGGCAGTGACGTCACGGCCCACCCACGCCCCGCCCTCGGAAGGGGAGCGGCCAAGACGCCGGACCTCCGGGCGGAATGGGCAGGCCCAAACCAGCGCCCGGGAGGTGGACCGGGGCGTGCCGCCTGGGCTTGAGCCAGAGGTTGGGCGGGGTTTCCCCCCCTCCCAGAACCATCTGGGGGCGGGAGGGAGAAACTAGCTGTACCAAGAAAGGAGTGATTAAAAATCTACACAGGCGCATAAATTGGTACAGGCATTTTGGAAGACTATTTGGCATAATATATTATATTTTAAAATACACATTCCCTATGACCCTGTAGTTTCTCTAATTACTGTCAATGCTAGGGAAACACCAGCATGTTTGCATATACCGTCTATATTAGTTAGTTATTCCGGCTGGGATATTCGCAGCAGGTAAATTGCTGAATTAATTGTAATACTCCACATTACAGTATACATGCAGCAATTTAAAAGCTGAATAAATCCAATGGATTAGGGTTTTTTTAAGCTGCAGAATGAAAAGTATAGTACAATATTTGTTTTATGAAAGTGTATATTTTACATAAATTCCTAAGTATGTTAATGGATAGCAAAAGGTCTAGAATACAGACTACATTACTAGTGATGTCAGAGAGAGGATCACAATTGGAGCTCCTAAATTGTGTCTATATTGCTTACATTTTTTTAAGAATGTATTCATGTATCACTTATATAACAAAATTAATTTCAGAAATCTCATAATTAATCCAGCACATTTGCCGTAGTACTTGTTTTAACTATGATAGTTCGCAAAGGAAGCATACTGTCACATCCTAAATATTAATATAAGAAACTTCAAGAAAGATACATAAGAAACCACTGGAATTCCTAAATCATCTTTTGAAAAGCACTGTTCAAGAACTTTGCAACAAGTAGGCTTCAAATATGGGTATTTATCTGTTCGTTTGATTGTAAGTATAGTTGATCTTTCCTGTTTCTAATGTCACTACACCTTGAGGTTCGGATACCTCAAGAGGTGAGCCAACTCTCCCTTCTCTTCCCTTCACTCCAGTAACTATTTCTGTCTCTACATTCCTCTCTCACCCCATTGTACATTCTTTTGTTTAATCCAATCTACTTAGTCTAGTTTTTAAATTAATGAGTTTAACCTGTCTTCCAAGATCTAACTGTATCTTCAACAGTATTGCCTTCCATGAACTCTGCAGCCACCCAAATTGCTACATATCATCTCTCAAATAATGTCTTCACCTGAGATTCCCACTCTTCTCACTCTCTTTTCTCTCTCAATTCTACCTGAACTTTAAAGACCACCTTGAATTCCAACTTTCTTTTTTTCTCCAACCAGTCCAATGCATGTAAGAAGTTCCCTTCTGGGTCATTTACTGACTTGAATGCCTTATTTAGCACTTACACTACTAGTCTCTGTTATTTATAATTTTATACATTCTCTCCCCAGCTAGATTTTGTTCTCAGTGACTCAGCCAAAGCACCAACTCTTCTGTCTTCCTTGGTTTAATTTGACTACTCCTGCTCTGGATTCCTACAGTATTCCGTGTATGAGTGTACCATAGCTTTTCACACCGGGCTGTTAGATCTATGTTTATTGACATCGTTACTTATTGCTGTGTTTTCAGACTGTTTATGCCCTTAGATAATGATGACTTAGTTTTCATATTTTGTATCCTTCTATTGTACTTCTTAATTCTGTCTTCCCAAATATAAGCCTCAAAGTTAAAATAATGCATTTTTCCCATAAACTATTTTTGGATTTCCTGGAATGGCCACCAAGTAACAAAAGGATGTGCTCCTTCAACCTAAAAAAAGAAAAAAAAAGGCTATCACAAGAAGAGACCATAAATCAACATTGTTATGAATATGGATGCAAAAATCTTTAACAGAATACTAGCAAACAAAATTCAGCATCATATTAAGAGAGTTACACATCATGACTAAGTGAGATTCTTAGGAATTCTTGGGAATTCATATCCCAAGAATGCAAGGGTGGTTCAAATACAAAAATCAATGTAATACATCGTATGAATAGAATAAAGGGAAAAAACAAATGAACATCTCAATTGGTGGTGGAAAAAAGTATTTGACAAAATCTAGCACCTTTTCGTGATTAAAAAAACTCATTGAAGTAAGAATAGAAGTGATCTTTCTCAACTAAAGAACATGTATAGAAAAATCCAAAGAACATGTATAGAGAAATCCACAGCTAACATTATACTCAATGGTGAAAGATTGAAAGTTTTCCCCCTAAGATCAGAAACAAGACAAGGATAAGTACTTTTGCCACTTCTATTTAACATTATACTGAAAATTCTAGCCATAGCAATTAGGTAGCATCCAATCCAGAGCAAAGCACCACTTCCTTGTAACCTTCCCCAAATCACCAAACAGAAGCCTAAATGCTCTAAAAGCTCCTTGGCTAACATCCCCTTATTGAGCTACTCCATGGTTCCCCCTGGTGTTCATTCTCCCTCATTGCAATAAGCCTCAAACCAAAAACCCAATTTGTTCAACTATAGCTGTGTTCCTCGTGGTTTTTGGCTGAAGGACATTGACATACTAAACGTCTAGTATGAGCCAGGCACTGTGGATACAGCAATGAATAAAACAAGAATCTCTGCTGCTTTTAGAGTTGACATAAAGGTGAAGACTAAAGCATCTATATAAGTGCAATACGTGGCATGTTGGGTTAAGTGCCACAGGGAAAAGTAAACAGGAAAGGGGGAGGGGTAGTGTGTGTTGAAATTTTTTAATTGGTTAGCCAGGGAAAGCCTTACTGAGATGACACTTTAAGATCAGAAGGAGAGGAAGCACGAACCATGCAGCTATTTCAGGGTGTTCCAAGCAGATGGACCAGCTAACTCAAAGGCCATAGGACAGCAGTACGAAACAGCAAGGAGAACTCATATGGAGTGAAGTGATCAGAGAGGAGAGGAATCAGAGTTGGAGAATAAGACAAGATGGGAAAGGGAAGAACGGTCATATAGCACCTTGTAAAACACTGCAAAAAACTTTGGCTTTTGCTCTAAGATGGAGAATTGTTGGAAAATATGGAACAGAAAAATGACATGGTCTTATATACTCTTTAATTAAAAAAAAAAAACACTCCAATTGCTGTGTTAAGAAGAGATTGAGGAAGAGGGGACAAAAGTGGAAGCAGGGAGACAAAGTACTTACAATCAGCAAGAGATAATGGTGATTTGGACCAGGCTGGAAACACAGGAAATGAAAAGCAGGCGGATTCTGGATATATTTGGCAAGCAGAACAGGCCAGATTTACTGTTATGGGGGCAGGGGTTAAAGAAAAATAAAGGAAGATGTTAAGATATTCAGTTTTCAGCCTGAACCCAAACTGAAAGGCTGAAGTTGCCATTAATTGAGACAAGAGACACAGTGTGAAGGCAGATTTTTTTGTTTTTTTTGTTTGTTTTTTTGGCAGAGGTGGGGGAGGAGGGTGGAAGAAGAGGAGTTCCTATTACATTTGCAATTACAAGTGGAGATGTTGGGTAAGCAGTTGAAGAGCCTGCCATTCAGAGGAGTTCTGGACTAGAGTTAAAACTTTTGGAGTTTGACTATAGACAGTATTTAAAATCATGAGACTGCTACAGCCATGCCACCCTGAACACGCCCGATCCCTTCTGATCTCTGCTGCTAAGCAGAGTCAGGCCTGGTTAGTATTTGGATGGGAGACCACCTAGGAAGACCGGGTGCTGTAGGCATAGAAACAAACAAACAAATAAATGAATGAATGAATGAATAAATAAATAAATAAATTTAAAAAAGAATAAAATCGTGAGACTGGATGAGATCTCCAAGCAGGGTGGTACAGATTGGCAGAGAAGGTCAAAGACTGAACTAAAGGCATTTGAATATTTAGAGGATGGGGAAATAAGACATAAGCTAAAATAGCCAAAGGAATAGCTATTGAGATAGGAGGAAACCAGTAGTGTGGAACCCTGGAACACCAAAGAATGTATTTGAAGGAGAGTATGAATAATGATGTCAAATGCTGCTAATAGACCAAGATGAGGATGAGACTTGACGATTAGATTTAGCAATGACTTCCTTGTGACTTTCCTGTTCAGGAGAAACATCCTGATTCTGTAATCTTTTTTTCCGGTAAAATATCACTTTCTAATGCACTATGTAATTTATTTAGTTATCTTATCATCAGCCTATTCTTACTAGAATGAAACTTTCAGGATTGATTTTTGCCTGTTTTGATAATTAAGAAAATATGCATACAATAGCATCTGGCCATAGTAGGAGTCTGGTTTTCAGATCTATCATTCTGTTGGTCCGACATCTATGAACATGCTCTTTTGGCAATGTTTCTCTAAAACTATTAGATTATATTCTAGCCAAGTCCTAGAATACTAGGATGGTTCTCCTTTGTTCAAAGCCTGGCATTTTATGATGCAGCCCAGCCAGCCCAGCCAGTTTGGCAGAAAATCATCCTGTTACTCCATGCCTTTCTTATTCAGAACCCCGTGTACTTTCCTGTAAATGCAAGGAAAAACATCCACAAGTGACAGCCCTACAGCTCTTGAGATATGTCTCATCTCTAATGGTGGAATCATATATTTAAAAAGAAATGGAAGAAAAGGACATCAGACATCAGATTGGGAAATCTCTTTTAAGATAGGGATGCCCAGCCTGAACTCCCATATTTTTGGGCTCTAGAGACCAATAAAAGGAGTTTAAGTCTCTTCTGTACATCAATTAGTCCTAGGACTTTCATCAAATCAATAATTTTATGGAGATTTATTTTCCTTATCTGCAATATGCAACTAAAAAGGTCTATATTGCAGAGTTATCATGAGGATTGAATTATCTAGAAGCCTACAATAGACCTTAACAAATGCTATTTTCTTACTTTCTAACCCCTCGTTTGTCAAATGTTTTCAGCTATGTTATAATGGAAATTTATTTTTTATGGTAACACTGTACAATAAAATGTTTGCTTGTATCTGGCTCATTTAACATAATGTTTTCATGATTCATCCATGTTA